TTACAAGGGCCCCTGCCTTCTACTGACCTACCTGGATGCATAAAATGACAACAGAGGCATCACAGGAATGGAGCAAACAGCAATGGTGAGAATTTGACATACCGAACTCCTTTCTTTCTGCAACCATGGTCTTGTACCAGACTTCCTTGCAATATCCCTAGTTTTGTTCCTTCCCTGCCCTGCCTTGGAGATGCCAGCTGATGCCCAGGGGCTTGGGAGGGGGCAGATGAATCCCTAGCTGTGTCTGTCTCTTGCTTTCTCTGCTTCCCCCTCTTTGCTCCCACCTTTGGGTGTCCCCCAATTCACACACAAGTTGACATCACCCCATGATGTCATTGATCCTCTTCCAAATGAAGGATAAACACTGATTGCCCCCCTAACCTTCAAATTTTCCCCTGTGTGATTTAAAACAGGCCCAATAAAGGCTAATTGCTTTTAGCATCACTGACTGGTCGAACTCTACTGCCAGACCCCTCTGAAGTCCAAGAGTTACTGTAACAGACTAGGACCCCTGTACAGCATAGTTCTCAATATCCCTTTGTCACTGTGTTACTTTCAACAAGTTTTTTTATTCCACCTTTTAGTGCCTTGGTTTTGTCATCTGTAAAACGGGAGTAATAACCTCTGTCCTCAGGGTTGTTTCATAGCTTTGAGCTGGACAGGACCTCAGAGGACATATAGTCAAACACCTCTTTTACACATGGGGAAAGAGAAGCCAGACATGTTAAGTGACTTGTCTAAAATCGCAGAACTAGTAAATGGCTGCTCTTAGCACCTCTGACTCCAACACAATATTGATCAAGTTGTATTTGTTGTCTCAACTCTGGACAAAGAGCAAAGAAAGTTTTGGAGCTGGCTGACTTGGGAGTAATTGTCTCCTTGTGGCAAACTCCAGAGTTTTGGGTGCTGTCTCAGGTTCCTGCCCTTGGGTAGGAAAACACTTGTAAGGAGTGCTTTGACAGCTTTAGCGCCTCAGTTAGTCCCATGAATAGGGGACTTCTGGGCTTTTAAAAAGTTTGTCTCTGCCCAAGGACTTTAGTGCATGCTTGGGAAGTGTCTTTGCCTCCTATTTGTGAACCTACAAAAACAGTAGGCTTTCAATCCTTAGAAATTCCTTTCTTGGCCATCTTTTAAAAGAAAAAAATTCATTGATGCCTTTCGATTTTGACGCTATAGTTATTTCTTGGTATAATTCTTCCATCACTCCCCCCAAACTGAATCTTCCCTTATAACAATGAAAAACAGATGAGCAAAACCAAATGATTATGTATGACAGCATCTGTAACATCACACTCCCATAGTCCCCCACCTCTCTACTGCCAGGGGAGATATATGCTATAAACCAAAATTTCTGTAGAGGTTTTCCCACTTCCCCCACCCCCCTTATTAATTCTACTGTCTTTAATATTCTTAACCCTTTTGCAGCTTTAAAATACTTTATATGGCCCTTGGCTTCTGAGACAATCAATCCATCAACAAGCACTTATTAAGCAATCAGTATGATTCAGGCATTTTTCTAAGCACTAGTGATTAACTTCTGTTGTTCAGTCATGACTGACTCTTTATGACTCCATTTGGGGTTTTCTTGGCAGAGATACTGGAGTGGTTTGCCATTTTCCTTCTCCAGTTCATTTCACAGATGAGAAAACTGAAGCAAACAGGGTTAAGTTTCTTGGCCAGGGTCACCCAGCAAATGAATCTGAGGCCAGGTTTGAACTCGGAAAGATGAGTCTTCCTGAGTCCAGGTCCAGTGCACTATGCACTATGGCGCCACCTAGCTTTCCCCAAGCACTGGGGATACAAAGAAAGCAAACCGTTCCTACCTTCAAAGATCTCATATTCTAATGGGGAAAACAACACTCAAATAACTGTGTGCATAATTGTGTACATATGGTGTAAATGGGAGGTAATCTTGGAGGAAAGGCATCGTATAATAAATTGAGTCTTGAAGAAAGTCAGGAAACCAGGACACAGGCATGAGAAGGGAGAACATCCCAGGCATGACAGACAGTATTTGAAGAAAGTAAGACTAAATCTAACTTTCTTAGAGAATGGATCACTGATGTAGAGTAGGGAAGAATTTTAGAGGATATCTAGTCCAATCCCTTCATTATGTGTGTGAGAAAATTGACATCTGGGAAGACTGAATGATTTGTTGGAGGTCACACAAGTAGTAAATGTCAGAGGTAGGATTTGAACCCAGTTCCTCTAGATCCAATCCTCTTTCTTTTTTTTAAACTTGTCATTTTAAAAAAATATTTTACTTTATTTTTAATTTATGGAATAAAACAAGCATTTCTATAACATAGCATAATCTTAAAAAAGATGATTGCACATGAAATTGCAAATCTATTATTATGTACAATTTTCTATTCCTTTTAAATATATAATAAAGTTATATAAATTTCTCTCCCTCCCCCCTTTCTACTATATCGTACTATTTCCCTTCTTGTAATAATATTTTTGTCTCTTTCAAATCGTTTTTCAATTTCAGTCACAATACCTAAGGTTGGTACGGCCTTTTAGAAAATTGGGGGAGAAGATGAGAATTAGACATAATGGAGCAAATGAAATATTTTAAAACTCCTCTGTACCCTTTACTACGTAATAGCAATCAATAATTTGCTACAGTTTATTAAGTGAGCCTTTCATTGAGTTGCAGTCTCTGTCACCCTGGCCGTGTGCCCAATTTATCCTTTATGAATATTTATCTTCTCTAATAAGATAAAGAGTTCACAACCTGCAAGACCTATCAATTTTGCTTATGTCTCTGGGCTTCCTGGTCTACCTGATGCTTGTTTGTTTTTCATTCCATTGATTCCCAGTTGTAAATCAGGCCCTCTGTTTCCTTTTATCTCTGAAATCTTGTTCCTCTGCACACACACACACACACACACACACACACACACACACACACACACCACTCCCTCCCCCATAATTACCTTGCTTCAGGCCACAAGAGTATGACAATTTTAATGTCTGAGGGCCGCCCACTCTCAGCACCTGTCAGGCCTGGTACATTTGGAGCAGCTATGAGCGTGGGGCTTTGAAAACTTGGAAAAAGAGAGTGTGGATATGATGGAAAGGAGTCTTGAACAAAACCTAGGTTCTTGCCCCTGCTAACTAGATGTGTAACCTTGGGCCTATCACTTTATATTTCCTGACTTGTTTCCTTACCTATGGAATGAGAAGACTGACCTAGATGAACATTAAGGTCTCATCCAGTTCTAAAGTCCTACGAATAGGTGATCACCTCTCTAGAGAATGTGAATTTGAACAAAACAACACTGACATTCTTTCTATTAAATATGCTATGTTCTATTTCACATCATCCCCTTTTCTGTAATACTGAGTAGGCCCCAGATCATAAAGGCCTATTCCCAGCTCTAATAAAACCTTCCATGCATCCATGTCTGTAACCCAACGAGCTATAACATGCCACTTACTGGATTCTCTGGAAATGCCTCAAACCAAAAATCAGTTGCAATTTAATTGCCATGGAGGATAATCTTTTAAACATATGCTTTAAATTCCATAAAGACTTTTCCCTGTAGGAATAAGAAAGCTTGTATGAACTTGGGGGCAGTTTACTTTCATTTCCAGAGGACAGAATGTGACCTAATAAATAGCATAAGACAGTTGACCAGTGTCTGAAGTAGAATGGTTGGAGTATGAGTAGAGAGAAGGGGGAGAGCTGTGGAGTGTGACAAGACCTGGCAGTTGGTTAGATATGTATGGTGAGTGAGATGACTCTGAGGCTGTGAGCCTTTATGACCAGAAGGATGATGGAAAGAAAAGCTCATAGCTAAGGTGAACTCCTAAGAGATGATTTTACTGTTGTCTCAGTATCTCCAGCAAGGAGCACAGTACTTGGCAGAGTAGGGGGAAGGAACAGGAGTAAGTTTCTTTCTTCTCTTCCTTTCTCCCTTCTTTTCCTTTCTTCCTTCCTTTCTTCCATCCTTCTCTCTCTTTCTTTCTTCCTTCTTTCCTTTTTTTCTTTCTCCACTTCCTTTCTAATGGTATCTACCCCAAAGGGTTTTTGTGAGGATTAAATGAGATAATAATTGTAAATCACTTAGCATAATGTCTAGCACATAGTTAATGCTATATACATGTCAGTTGTTATCATCATCATCACTATTATGGTCATATAGCACCTACTATGTGCCAAGCATTGTGCTAAGCACTTTACAAATATTTCATTTGATCCTTACAACAACCCTTCGAGGTAGGTGCTGTTATTATCATCCCTGTTTTATATGTGGGGAAATTGAGACAGAGAAATTAAGTGATTTATCCAGGGTCACATAATTAAATGTCTGAGGCTGGATTCGAGCTCAGGTCTTCCTGACTCCAAACCCAGCACTTTATCCACTGCACCACCTAACTGCTTCTAGTAGACTGATTATTGTAGTAGATTGATTATTATGGAGGCAGCACACAGTATCTCAGAAAGAATACTAGACTTAGCATCAGATGACCTGGATTCATTTATTTGCTCTGCCTTTTATCAGCTGTGTGACCTTGGGAAATGCAATTAAATTTTATGAGCTTTAGTTTCCTCATCTGTAAAATGGGGTTAATACACAGGGTTATAGTGAGGACCGAATGAAATATTGCATGTGAAGTGCACTGTAATCATAAAACACATGTAAATGTCAACTGTCAATAGTGGTTAAGATTTCTATATATTCTGTCCTTAAATAAACAACATTAAAAAACTAATATAAAAAGTCATCAGCTCTGGTTTTCAAATGAGCAGGTATCAGAGCCTATGTGACTAAACTTCTCTAGGTGTTTCTGCCTTCCTTTTATGCCCATCCTGCTAAATGCAAACAGTCAATGAGTGTTGGCTAATGGAAAGATAATAGGTTGAGAGCTGTTGTCTTTGAAGAATTTGCTCACTGCTTTCCTGTTGCAAACAAGGAAAGAGCAACCATACTGAAAGAAAATCTGGATGACAGTAATCCAAGTATGTCTGCTTTAATTCTCCTTTCTAGGTGATAACGGAGAGGAGGCCTGGCCAAAGTCCTTCCCTTCCTGTGGAGGAATGTTCCAGTCTCCCATAGATTTCGACAGTGACATCCTTCAATATGATTCTACCCTCTCACCCTTAGTATTAGAAGGTTACAACATGTCTTCTAGTGAGCAGTTTATTCTGACTAATAATGGACATTCAGGTAAGATGAAACCTGTGGAAAAGTCTATTTTCCCATTGTTTCTCTCTCTTTCTCCCCACTTGATAACATAGTAGGCTCTACTATAGGAACCCATGTAGCAAAGACTTTATACCATCTGTGTGGGTTCTCTCCTTAAGGGAGAATAACTAATCATCAAGGGCATTTCCCCAGGGACAATGCTGGCTTCTTCCTTCCCTTTCCAACACACACACACACACACACACACACACACACACACACACACACACAAGTGGAATTCTCCAGAACCAGTTCTGCCGTGGAGTCACACAATTTAAGACTAGTTGAACCTCCAGCAGTAAGAGGGGGGAAAACAGCAAGCCAAATTGAAAGACCTTAAAAGTAAAAATTATCTAACATTATATATTCTTTGGGCAACTAGGTGGTACAGTGGCTAGAGTGCCCAGCCTGAAGTCAGGAAGACTCATTTTCCTGAGTTCAAATCTGCCCTCAGACACTTACTAGCTGTGTGACCCTGGACAAGTCACTTAACCCTGTTTGCCTCAGCTTCCTCATCTGTAAAATGAGCTAGAGAAGGAAATGGCAAGCCACTCCAGTATCTTTGCCAAGAAAACCCCAAATGGAGTCATGAAGAGTTAGGCATGACTGAAAGAACCAAGCAACCACCACCACCACCACCACCACTACCACCATATATACTCTGCCTTATAGTACATCTAGGTCCTTCAAAGTCTGAAAACTGAGTCCTATGGCAAAGTTGTCCCAGAAACAGATCACAGCTTCAGAATCTAATCTCATAGTACTGTCAGCAAAGTAACATGGTTTCTCCTTGGACATAAGGTTTTTTACAAAAAATTAGCTATCAGCCTTTCATTGAGTAGTGGGTAGGCTAGGTTAATGTTTTGTATGGAAGCAGTGGTTGGCATGTAGAGGTTAGAGTCTGTCAGCTCTACAGGTATTCAACACTTTAGCCTGATCTTATATGCAGAGTTGAAGGTGTAGCTTAAATGGTTGGGCCCTGGGGCAGAGGGCTACCAATGACTCAGTACCCAGCCGTCGGGGTTGGACTGTATGGTCTCTCAGTGTCCCTTCTGATTCTAGATCTATGGTGTTATGAAATCCCAGGGATTCATAAACCCATCTAGTACAATTAGGACCTAGCAATCCTAATGACACGGTAAGCTATGTCTTCACTCTAAGCTCACAACCACAACCCTATTTCTTTTTTTAGCACACAGGGCTCCAATGATGTGCTCAGTGTTCCATCTTCCTAGAACCTTAGTGGTCAGTCTGCTCACCAAAAGTATGCTGGGATTTGTTGTATCTAACTTCCATGTAATTACCACCACCCCTCCCCATTCTTCCCTCATTCCCTTCTCCCTTAAGTGCTCTTCCCAGGTGCCCATGTTATTTGTTGTCTGTGGTGCTTTTGTTCTGTTCAACAGAAGTGTGACTGCCCCCCCATCTCTACCAGCTTTGTGGCTTTTAACAAATGGTGTTCAAATGATAAACATGGGTCTCCTACTGCTTTCAGTTAGAATTTCACCAAGAACTCTACCAGGAATTGCAGAATGTCTCTGGGGGAAAATGCCTAGTGTAGGGCATTCGGATCCCCTAGTTACACTGGTAACAGCATCAGTAACAAGAGACATGCTTCTGCTTCTCAGCCACTCAGCTTAGATAACTTACTGATACCAGGTCCTGGCTCCTACTGACAACCTGAGATGCCTAATGATAGTAAAGGTTAATTAACCAGATGCCTAATTGAGAGCACATTATTTTACTGAGATGCTAAATACATATATTAATAATCCCTTTTTAAATTTTAAATTCTCCTGTGAAGTAGGTTCACCACCATCAAATGCATTTTACAAATGGAAAAATTCAGGCCCTGAGGGTTTACAGAGTTTGGCAATTCTACTAGAGTAAGAAGAAGTCAAGGACTCTGATTCCCAAATCTCTTTTATCTCTACTTATCTGGGTCCCTGAGTTTTCTTATCTCATTATTTTTAAACCCCTGTTCCCTGAACTGGTATTAATGAATCTACTGCTTTTTTCTCACAGTGAAATTGGCTCTGCCTCCAAATATGTACATTAAAAGCCTGGGTCCCAGATATACAGGAACAGAACTTCACCTGCACTGGGGCAATCAGAATAATCCCCATGGCTCTGAGCACACAGTTGATGGGAAGCATTTTGCAGCTGAGGTAAGTGGAGTGGGAGGGAAGATTGAGGCCAGCGCTCAGGTTGTCCCTGATGCTGGTCTGGAACTGCATCTGGCCTCTGATGGGCATGTGCTTAAGTGGCTAATGGTTGTGTTTATTGTAGACATACCGTTCAAATATTGATGTTATTTACCTCTATACTGCCTGGTTATGTGAATGATAAGTAGAATGTCTTGAGCAGTAATCTAGCTACAGTTGATGGGTTGGAGGTATCTGAAAATTCACTCTATTTCTCCCTCCCCCATCCCCAATTAAGCTGAAATACCCTAGTGAATGTGCTGGGAGCCTGTCCTGATGCCTTCATGTGACTAATTAAAAATTAGGTTAGGATGAAAGGAGGATACACCATCACACAGACAAAGCATTAGCTTCTCTTCATTTTAATTACTTTGAACTACATTTACTATTTAAATAAATTACTCAGGGTGAATTGATGAGGTTTGTGATTTGCCCATTTCCCAGAAGGACAACAGAGACATGCAGCAATCTTCCAAGGTGTCCAGATAGGGCAGAACTACTTCAGAGAATGTGGAGGCAGGTTGTCCACATTTTATTTTCTCTCAAAGATGAGGATACAGAGGCAAAGAGAGATTAAGCAACTTGGCTAACGGTGCCACATCTAGTAATTGTCAGATCCACTATCCACGCTTCTGGTTTCCAACCAAAGTCAGTCAACTAGCATTTATTAAGCACCTGCTATGTGCAGGGCACTGTGCTGAGCACCAGGGATACAAAGAAAGGCAAAAAAAAAAAATTGCTGCCCTCAAGGAGCTTATAGTCTAATGAGGTGCTCTTTCCACCACTTCCTATTGTCCCTCCAAACTCAGAAGCCCTGAGTTCAAATCTCACCTCTGCCACTTACTACTTGTGCCGTCTTGAACAAGTCTGTCTGAGTCTCAGTATCCTTATGTAAAATAAGGGGTTTAGACAAAATGACCTCTAAGGTACTTTCCAGTTCAAAGTCTATAATATTCCATTGAAAATGGCGATGAACTCCTAATATCATCACATTAGATACTAATAGTCCCCATAACCTCTATATTCCACAATTCTGTAGCATCATGAAAATTAGCCTCCCCTGCCAGGAATAGCCCATTATTATTATGCCAGACCTGTTCAGGAGTGTGCTATTACTCCTGTTATTTACTGGAGCCTTAGTGATAAAGAATGGGAGAATGGGTTGGGGTGAACCCCACCTGTTTTACTCCCTAATCCTTACTTTATCACAACAGACTCTTAGAAGATAATAATGAACAGTATCAGAATATCAAAGGGAAAAACACAAAACTCCCTTAAACTTTGGTAGAGGGTGTCATGTTTTCTACTTAAAGATCTGCCTAGAGGTAGCTGAGAGTTATAACATACCACCCTGTGTTATGTCGCACTGTGTAACCCTGGTGTGCAAATCCACTATGTCAACAGAGAATGGGAGGAGGGGCAGAGCATTATTCCTTTAGCGACAACTCTGTAATTGTTGGCTTTTCACTCCACTTTTTAGTTCCTATAGGCCAGAACACAGGGGAACATTTGCGAATGTTTATAGTGCAATACAAGGGATAAATACCACAGATCAGGCAATGGATTCTATGGTGAATAATTATGTGTCGATTCTCCACTATTCATAACCACTAAATGGTTTCATGTCTCAGGCTAATTATAGTTCTACTTACAAGTAAGGTGGGGTATAATTCTGGACCTGATACATGATGGTACTATTAGAAGCTCACACATTTTCATGCCCCTTTCTGAATCTCACGCACTGCAATTATTTCCAGCTAATTGTTGAGTTGAGACTTCCCTTCCTCCAGGGAATATAAGGAAGCTAGGGTATAGGTAGGAATTAGGGTTTAGGCAGCTGTAGATCATTTGAGTTGCTTTTCTTTCTGCTATGAAGGCTCAAGTTATTATATCTATTTTATATCTATGTGTGTATATGTGTATATGCATTTATGTACATGTATGCATATGTCTGTATATATGTATGTGTGTGTGTGTGTGTGTGTGTGTGTGTGTATGAAGAAAGGTTTTATAAAAAGAAGCATTGTGGTGTAGTAGGAACATTACTGGCTTTGGAGTCAGGAGAACTAGGTTCAAATCCTGAATGGGACACTCACTAGCCAAGTGCCAAGTGACCCTGGGCAAGTTATTTTTTCTTTATGTCAAAGTTCCCTTATATGTAAAATGAAGGTAATAATTCTTATGCTACTTTCCCTTACAGGGTTGTTGTAAGACACTACTTAAAAAAAATTTAAGGAAAGTAAAAAATGTAATTGGGGTTGGAGCTGAGACATTGTGATAGCTAAAGATAACAAATATATACCTAATAGTAAGGAGATTTGATTATTTTTTTTTAATTTCTAGGCAATTGGGGTTAATTGACTTGCCCAGGGTCACACAGCTAGTAAGTGTTAAGTGTTTGGTCTGAGGCCAGATTTGAACTCAGGTCCTTCTGACTTCTGGGCCGGTGCTCTATCTACTGTGCCACCTCGGTGCTCTATCCACTGTGCCACCTAGCTGCCCCAGGAGATTTGATTCTTAATCACCTTTCTGAGTGGAAAACAAGTCTCAAAAATATTTAATTTTAACTAAATGAAATGCCAAGTTGTCTTTCATGACCAGGGTTATCTTTTTTAAAGTACCTTTAAAAAGGCTCAAAAACTTGATAAAATGCATCTAGAAGACCTTAAGTGTCCTTGTAATTCCAACATCCTAAGGCACAGATGGGGTTAAGTTATGCTCCATCTCATCTCTTTGCCCCTCGATTGTTGTTTTAGGAAAGGTCATATTGATGATATGGAGTTAAAGAGTATATTTTATCCCTGAGATGATTGAGGAAACTACATTGGTCCAGAAATTAGGTATCTATTTGTGTGACCAAAAAATGACAAATAAACACTAATTAAGGATTGCAAGGTTTTGTTATATGTTAACCTGAAAGACAAATTGATTTATCCTGAAAAGGAACCTACAGACTAAAAGTCTGCTCTGTTTAACTTGCCCAATTGCAAGCTTTTTTTTTTTCTGGCAGCATATGATTAGATTAAGAAAATTAAGTATCAAGGAAGACACCACAGGAACACCACCACTGGGACACTGGGAGATGGGCAAAAATGGTGTAAATAACATATAACACACAGAACATTTTCTGGAAGAAGCTCTTGGGTCGGGACCCACAGTTTAAGAAGCACTGAAAGGGTCAAGAATGGCAAAAGTTTAAGAAGACCTGGGCTAAACTATTAGATATAATCTGCGTTGTACAATGTCAAACATGCTTCCTGCCCCAGTGCCTTTCCTCTAAGATTATCTTCCATTTAGCCTGTGTGTGTGTATGTATGTATGTATATATGTATACACACACACACCCATATATATATGTATATATAATGTACACAGTTATTTGTATATTGTCTCCTCCATTAGACTGTGAGCTCCTTAAGGGTGGGAACTGGTTTTGCCTTTCTTTTATTTCTATCACCTAGCATAGTACCTGGCACAGAGTAGTGGCTTAATAGACATTTGCTGAACTGACTGAATAACCTTAAAGGAATCTACAAATGTGAGTTATTCTTTATGATAATTCCTTAAAAGAAAAACTAACCTTCACGATCAAATTCAAATGAAGGTTATTCCTAAAATTAAAAAAATCTTGATGCCTGTAGCAGATTCTCAAATAAACTCCAGATCTTCTCTAAACACCACTAGTATTAAATTATAGGTTTACTAAGCTACCCATGAAAGAACACCGAACCCAAGACTAAGCAGAGCAGAGTATCAATTAAAAAAAAAACAATCAGGAAGTAAGCCTAATGAAGGAATCAAACCCAAATAAATTTAATATTATTTGTTAACTTCTTCTTTCTTTTTAACAAGATTTTCTTGTCTTATTTGATTTTCATGGACCTCTATAGTAGGATTCAACCTAGAGTGTAATTGCTGCAGTCAGAAGCTTGTGTGTTTTAGCCCAGTGAACCAAAGCAGTCAGAATTCTGTTTTGTCAATCAAGAAGAAACAGGACTGAGCTGGTCCATGGCTTTGCCACAAGCTAGGTCTTTCACAGGGGAGGTAGTTGTGGGGAAGAACTCCTAGGCTGAATGGAAAACCACTTTTCTCTTGAGTAGTTGACTCATAGAAAAAAGTTACGGCCACATTTTTTTTAAAGTTTCTTTTTTTTTTTTTTCCAAATTTAGGGAGGATCAGGTCAAATGTTCTCAAAGACTCATAGACTATTACAGCTAGAAACTAGGGATCTTCTAGTCCAACCCTTTTCTAATAATAATAATAATAGCTAGCACTTAGACAGCACTTTAAGGTTTGCAAAGCTCTTTACATATGTTATCTCATTTGGTCCTCAACATAATTTTGTGACATAGGCACTATTATTATAGCTATATTATTTATATATATTATATATAGCTATCATTATATATTATATTAATTATATAGTAACATATTAGTATATTTTGTTAATGTAGCTATTAACATATATTATGACTATATTATTATAGCCATTTAACAGATGAGGAGACTGAGGTCAGTCAGTCAACAAGTATTTATTAAGTTATTACATACTATAGGGCCAGGCATTGTGCTAAGTATCTTAAGATACAAAGAAAGGCAAGACACTGGCTGATCTGAGGGAACTTCCCGTCTCGTGGGAGAGACAAACATGTAAACAACTAGGCACAAACAAGATATATAAGGATAAAATGGAGAGAATCAGCAAGCGGAATTCTGGAATTAAAGGCGATTGTTAATGGGAGAGTCACACAGCTAATAAATGTGAGGTAGGATTCAAACTCAGGTCTTCCTGACTCCAAGGATGATATTCACTGTACCACCTAGCTCTTTCATGTTCTATTTATCCAGTTTTAAAATTAAAAACAAGAAATATTATATTTACTGAATGTAACCTTTACACACACATTGAATTTCTGTATTAGAGTCAATTATGGTGAGTTACAGAGAGGAGAAAAGGTGGTAGGGAAACAAAGACTGAGAAACACAATTTCAATGTTTGCCAAAACCTTAACAGACAAAGATCTAAATAAATTGACTAATGCTAATTTTGTGGAAAATAATCATCTTAATTGTGATTAAAATGCAGCCACAAAGAGGATAAAATTCTCAGAATGTGTTATAAAAATATCTTTTGCTCATTTTAAAGGGAAAAAAATTTTCTCCCTTGGAAATTAGAGAATGTTGTAGTTTATAGAGAAAAATATCTTTTTTCACGGAGTAATATTGTTTCTGTGACATCTTAGAATATTGTTGATAAAGACTTTTAAATTCTTTTAAAACCATGTTTTCATAGCTTACAGGCAAAATACTGGCTTTGTAGGTTGAATGAAAACAAGCTGGTGGTTGGAGGGTTCTCATCTCAGACCTTGAGCATTTCTAGATTAAGTGGTATTTAGGAGTGACTGAGCTTAAGGGGACTACATAATAAACACAGCCTTGCCATGGGATCAAGACTATCTAGTAATAGCCTGAAGAAAGAAATGGAATTTATCTAAAATAGTTTAGCTTTTCCATGGCTTTTTACAGGAACGAAAGTTGTGTATTCCCTTGACACTGATATTTTGGCCTTTTCTCTCCATTACAGTTACATATTGTCCATTATAACTCAGACAAATACCCTGATGTGTCCATAGCCAGGGACAAATCAGACGGACTAGCTGTTCTGGCTGTTCTTATTGAGGTAAGAAGTTCACTGGTCCCCTCCCCCTCCATCATTTGGTGTAAAGGGTTTCCAAATGTGATTTCAAATATGAATCAGAGTTGGAGTCTGGCAGTTTTGGTCCCTGGACTCAGACTTCAAAGGTTCAGCTGGCTGTGTTGTGTATTCTTCACATAAAACAGGCCTGTGTGATATAGTGTGCTTTTTCTAGCAGATTCTCTCTGTTTGGAAGTAATGTTTTCTTTCTTTGTGGGAGAGGGGGAGGGCCTACAGTAATGATGATATCCTTTTATACTGGGGTGGGGGGAAGAATAAATATAACTTTACCTAGACCTCTTAAATAGGACATTTTGAGATGAACCTTCAAGTTCTAGGTTAGATTCTCCTTTTGGTTGCCGTTTTTGTAGTATTATAGCAAAATAAAGCAATATAATTTAGCACTGAGTACAATGCTTTAGAAACTCAGAGGCAGTGACTTGTGAAGGGCTGCAGAATGTCAGGAACTCAGTGACAGTGCTGTAATGACAGAACAGTCTCACATGATGATCCTCCCAGTTGTTCTATCAAAGTGGATCTTTTGGATCAAGGCTGCTAAGAAAAGGCTATTGCCTGCTAATGACTGAGAGCTTCCTCTGATCTGGGAGTAATTAACCTGTGGACCATTAACAAATTTAAAAAAATATCTATATTTGGATAACTATTTCAACACGATTTGTTTTGTGTATGATCTTATGTGTTTTATCATGCATTTAAAATCCTTATTCTAAGAAGAGGTCTTCAGGGGCTTTACCAGATGCCAAAGGAGTCCATGATACAAAAAAAGGTTAAGAAAACTTGCTGTAATCTGATAATTCAAACCACCACAGTTGGAATCTCCCTCAGTCCAAGTAGCTCAACCATGTCCTGTGTGTTGCAGATGGGTTCCTTTAGTCCTTCCTATGACAACATCTTCATTCACCTTCAAGATGTTAAGTACAAAGGTAAGTGGCCAAAGGGTCCCTTGTTTGATCCTTCAGTCTTTTCTGGGGGCAGGATTCAATCACTTCTATATGACAAAGAAAAATACAGGTGGTGGTGTCCACATTCAGAAGCTAATGGACAACGGGAAGTTGAAAACGATATGAGAAACAGACAAACAGCTGGTCCCTGCCTACCCTCAAAGGGCTCACATTCTAAGGAGAGAAGACAACGCTTGGAGCTGGAAGAGGGTGGGGACACAACGGTTTGATGTGGGGATGGCAGAGGAGGGACATAGAGGCCTGATTCCTGACAAGATAAGGTAAAAGCTCTCCTGTGGGGACCTGGCAAGAGAAGAGCTTGCCTGGCCGAAGTGGGGCAGAGTCCAATGCTGTAGAGAGGAGGCGAAGTCCGGAGGCTGGGCAGCAACGCAATGGGGAGTGTGTGAGATGCTGTGAAGGGAGGCAGCTGTACAGCACAGAATACAGCATTGGTGTCAGACTCAACTGCAACAGGAACCTGAAGGCCACATAATGACATTATCTGTTTTATTATATTTATTTTTGTTAAATATTTCCCAGTTACCTTTTAATCTGGTTTGGGCCAAACCTGGGAGGGTTGAGGCCGCTTATGGCCCTCTGGCCTTGGTGTTCAAAACCTCTGGTATAGAAGTGTGCTAGAATCAGAGTCAGGAACACCTGGGTTTAACTCCAGCTCAGACAATTATTAGCTGTGTGACCCTGGGCAAGTCACCTAACCTCTGTGAACCTCAGTTTCCCCATCTGTAAAATGGAGATAATAATAGCACCTATTTCACAGGGCTGTTGTAAGGATCGAATGATATAATTTGCAAGTGCTATATAAATGTCAGCTATTATTATGAAGTCAGTGGTAAATTTGTGAAGTGGTCAACAGTCATAGAGCAGCTTTAGGGTGATAGACACAGAAATATGCTTAGGGTTCTTATCAGAAGAACATTTCTATGCATTAGAAAGATGCCAGTATCACCTCCTCCCTCTCCCATTGTGTTTCTTTCAGATCAGAAAATTCAAATTCCAGGTTTTAACATCCAAGACCTTCTTCCTCAGAACCTAAATGAATACTACCGCTACCAAGGTTCTCTGACCACTCCTCCTTGTTTCCCCAGCGTGCTCTGGACAGTTTTGCGAAATCCTGTCCAAATCTCCCAGGACCAGGTAACTTAGGAGCTACTTAGGAGCCTACATCACACTGCAATTTCTAGCAAACTGAGATATTGTATCATTTGGATAAGTTGAAGAAAACCATAGGAAAATCAGAAGCAAAGCACTCATGCCCCTCTTATTCCCTACATAAAAGTGGTATTAGAAGGGGAGATACCAAGAAGAATGAGAATCACAAATGCTTACCCCAACAAGTCTTGAAAAATGATCATAAGAGGAGGGGATAATCAAAAGCAAACACTTCTGAAAGTGACTTTCTGAAATCAAAAGCAAATCACTTCAGGGTCAAAAGAGAGAATAGAAGAAATGGGGGGTAGGATAGGATGAAGGGAAATATACTTAGTTTTTTACAATATGACTACTATGGAAGTGTTTTGCATGACTGCACATCTATAACCTGTATTGAGATGCTTGCCTTTTCAATGAGGGTGGGTGGGGAGGGAGGAAGGGAGAAAATTTGTAACCCAAAGTTTTAAAAACACATGTTAAAAAAAAATGTGAGGGTTGGGGAAAAAAAAAAGCAAAATGATCATAAGAAAGTGGGAAAAAATATAGAACAGAGAAAGCCCGGCAGTCCTTATCCTCCAAGGGCCCTGCCTTGCCTCTTTATTTACTTAAACATTACTCAATACATAACTCACGTCAATGGAGTGAATGTGACCTGTTTCTCAGGAGAAAGTAAAAGTCTAACCCTTCCTGTAGGCAGGTTTTGGATTAAAGTTAAGGACAGGGTTAGTTTAGGTCAACCGTTGCCTTCATGAACAAAGTAAAGGGGGTATGGCCCAGGAAAATAAGTGGACCCCTCTTTATCAGGGAGTTTGGTGGTCTAGAGGATAAAAGGCTGGCCTTAGCATCTGAAAGACCCAAGTTCAAATCCTGCTTCAGACACTTACTGGCTCTGTGACCTGTGGGAAAGTCATTTAACTGTTCTCAGCCTTGGTTTTTTCATCTGTAAAATGGGGATAATAATATCATACTTCACAGAGTTGTCGTGACAGCCAAATGAGGTAACTTAAATAAAACACTTTGCCTACCTTGAAGCACTATATAAATATTAGTTTTCATTATTTGCAAAGATATCACTGGGTCATCTTTTTCATATTCTTACCTTTTTCCTGGTTCACTGCCTCTCCTCTGCTGTAGGCTTCTGGTGTAAGGGGTTTACATCAATGGGTAATAAACGTTCATTGAATTAACTTGGTTGGCAGGAAGGAATAAAGAAAAAAATGATTTCTATAGTGAAATATTAATTTAGCAACTCAAAAACTGTTTTGAAAGAGGTTGCATAATTTTCATGGGTTCATGAAATCATATACAAATAATAGGCAAAAAACTCGTGCCTAGTGACATGCTAGTAAATGTTTAACAAATGGTTCTCAAAAAAAATTGTGACATAATTTTAAGTTCAATCTGCATTATTTACATCTTTTCCACTTTTTTAAGTCTAGACACTTAACAAAACAATAAATCAAGCCTTCATGTATAGCATTTGTCAAGTTACAAGCTGTAACACTGGTTTTCAGTTGGAGATGGCTCCATCACACACCTGTTTGAGCCCCTCCTAATTATTTCATATAATTTAATGTGGTTTTGGGAAAAACCTACTAGGAACATCTCATCTACAGCTTCTTGTTACAGTTCTGGATTTTCTGCCCTCAATATAGGTAAAGTAGAAGACCTAAATTTGAATCCTGCCTTAGAAGTTTTTTAGCCACCTATATGACCCTGGGAAAATCAATTAATCTCAGTGGTCCTCAGTTTCCTTATATGTAAAATGAGAGGGTTGGACTTGATGACCTCTATCGTCCCTATTAGATCTAAATCCATGCTCCTCAATGACCTATGACCCTAAAACCAAAATATATTCCTCCACATCACCTAAAACCATCCACAGTCAGGTCTGATTTCAACTGTAACAGAGAAATATTTTCAAAAAATCAATTCTTCTTGGGACGTACAGTGGAGATGAGAAAACAAGTAGAATACTAAATCAATAATTATTTTTGGTAAGATGGAAGGACAGCCAAATGTAGAGGGGCAGAAACAGCCCTTTGATTTCCTAGAGTGAAAATGCTGGCTTTTGAATTGATCTTCCATAATACAATGTACCTTGTATAGTAATTTGTTTTTCTGAGCCTCTCCAGGGCCAAGAACTACCACCCTTCTGAATGAAACCCAGGGTTCAAGCCTGGTGCATTTGCACAAGATTTTCCTCACTGGTAGAAAAAATGATTACTCAGAATGCTCCATGTTTATGTAAAGGGCAGAGTTAGCAAGCGCTTGAGAGAGTAGATACCCTTCTTGTTTGTGATTTCCGGCTTTGAAAGAGGACACCCATGTACACACTAGTGCAACTGGTATCACACTTCACCCAGCAAAGAAAAGCCTGAGTCACTTTTCTTCTTGCTCCTCGTAGTAGCAGTAGAAGTTGAGAATGTGTGTCTCTACTCCCTCGCAGCTGCTGGCTCTGGAGACAGCTCTGTATTGCACCCATATAGATGATCCCTCACCTCTGGAACTGGTCGACAACTTCCGAAGAGTCCAAAAGTTTGATGAAAGGCTTGTACGAGTCTCCTTCCACCAAGGTAAGGGGATGCAGCCCTTTTTTGGTGGGGGAGGGAAGGAAGGGAGATTGATGGAAAGACCTCTGTGAGCCAGGGAGGCAAAGGACCTATTGTTTCCACAGCTGTCTGACCTCATTAGAAGTTAAGCTGAAAAAAAAAACAAACTAGGAGTGGCTCAGAAGATTTGTGTACACTTACAAACAATTTTGTGAGGTCTTAGAAAGCTCTGATATCTCTCGATTGCCCCCTTTCCAGCTGGTGTTAATGGAGCATAAATCAGGAATTCCAAGTGAATGGCTCAGGACCTCAGGCCCTTATTAACTCAGAAAGATTTTTTGTGTGTAAATCAGAATTGAGCCCTTCTAGACTTGCCCCTCATCTCTAGGGCTGACCTTGAAGTCATAATTCTGCCGTGGAAAGCCAAGGAATTCTTTTAATTCCTGAGATACTCAATGAAATAAAGGCTGACTTTTGATGTGAGATTCTTGCTTTCTGCCCCACTGCCCTTCTGCTGTTGTCACCACCAGCTGAGGTTTAGCATCATCTTCTCCACAGCTTTTGTTCATGTGCTCAAGCACACTTGGTCCTTGATTATTGACAGATTCCCATTGCAAAGATGTTAATAATATTTAGTATGGTCCTCCAAACCAACAAGGCCCATCATTTGCTGCTCTCTTACCAAATTTCCTTTGAGTTCCTTCACAAGCACATGCATACTTAAACATATATATCTAAATTCAAGGAAGCTTTTACTTCTGATGCTAAAATGAAGAGGAGTTGGTTTTTCCTTTTAACCATGGTGTCCAAGCTTGATGGAAAAAAATCTAAAACCAAGAGTTCTTTAGCCTTTTTTTTTTTTGGTGTCCTAGACCCCTTTGGCAATCTGGTAAAACCCTTTTCAGAATGTTTTTTCAGTGCGTAAAATAAGAATCCACAAAATTACAAAGGAAAGCAATTCTTTTGAAATACAGTGATCAAATTATTAAGAAAAATACAAGTTCATGGATCCCAGGTTAAGAATCTCTGCCCTCTTTGGACCTATCCTCCCCGACTCACGTCCTGCAGTTTCTGAGAGAACATTGATGAAATTAAATCCTTCCTCTGATGTTCTATAGCAGAGAAATGCATTTTTTGAAGGATGTTCTTTATGCTACCTCAGATTTTAAAGTAATTTTTGTCAGAATCTATTTTCCATTTGTCTGTTACAGACAAGGCCTCTATGTTTCTGCTCCCAAGTGTCACTCCTGACTCTTCTTTCTAGCTGGATCTGCCTCATATAAAGTGACACACCAACATAGAAGATTACACTTTCTCTCTTAAAATGGAGTTTATCAGTTAAAGCCATCTCCCCTCCACCAGTGCCTAAAGCTATGGGGTCAGGTCTTCCTGGGCTCACATGTCTTTTTGCCATCTCCCTCCCTAACTGAAGATATGGATAATTCTCATTTTCTTTCCAACTTCCCTTTCAACCTCTTGTGCAATAGTGGAGCTTTCCTGAATACACAAAGAAGACACTATCGATCCTTTGTCAGAAGACAGGCCCCTCTTTTTAGATTTAATGTATTTCTCACTTGGCAGCGGTCTTTTCTTTGACGCTGAGATGGTAACATTTACCTATTGGGTTTAATTGAACAGATGAGGGTTTTTTTTCAAATGACACTTTCTGGGAAATGTTCTAAAACAAGAGCTTTGGGATCTATCTAAATAGGTTCTATTTAATCGATTGTATTTTTGTTCTGTTTAAGGTATATTGCGAAAATCTATTTTTGTTTACTAAGAGGCCTGTGTGCTAGTTTCCTAAGTTCTCATCTCTGTAACCTCAGGCAATTATATTATCCTCTTTGTTCCTCCATTGGAAAACTCCATCTGCCAACATTAATGGTTCCTAAGAAAGTGAGTCTGCATCATAATGACAGCATTTGGGGTCCTTTGGGAAATTGAAAGGGCATTATGTGCCTGGTATTAGCTCCTGCCAGCATATGACTTCTTTTCCATTTTTAAAAAAGATGAATGATACTTCATTAAGTGTCTGTAAGTGTTAAAACTTAAATTATTCACTTTTTAATTAAGTAAAAACTAAAATTCTTCCTTGAGATAGGGGAATATAGATGAAATAGGATCCTGGCAAATTATTATTTTTTGATCCAGCAGTAGATACTTGAACCAATATAAACTACTTTATCTTCCTTGCCCCCAGAGGAAACTTCCCTCCCTGAGTTGTCTTCCATGTTGAACCGCATGTGGGTAGGCAAAGTGGATATTTATGAATCCAAACCTGATTTTACATTGCAGGGTCACCCTATGGGGGCAAATACAGAGGATCAGAAGAAAGCTTGCAGGACTTTGGGTTTGCCATCTAAAAGTAACCACTGCTCTGTAATGCTGAATTGATTGTATTGAGAAAAATTAGCCATCTTCTTAGACCTGACCCAGGTCTAAGGTCATTGCTTCAGATGCAGGCAGATTAGTAAGGCTTGCTAGAGAGCGCTTTAGTATCCTATTCTGGTTCTGCTGGGTGATTCTATTGCAGAGGTGGAAGCCCTTGGGGCACCAGGCCCAAGGAGTCAGATTTGCTCTTGAGAATAGCAGAAAAATGAAGGTCTCAATGCAGCTTTGCCAATTTTGCTAATGCATAGTTCAGCTGTGAATGCTGCTTCAGAAAACCCAAGCTGGTTCTAAACTCTTTGGATGGAAACTGACCATCCAGGACAGTGGAAGATGGATTATAGAAACTTGGCCAGACATTTCATTCTCCCAGTATTCCAATTTTTAAAGACAGAGTTAGGAGAAGGGCTATTTTTCCAGTATTGACCAGGAAGCAGTATCAGAAATATGATGTCCAAGACTTGTTGGAAGCTGCTTATATTCAGGAGTCTCCCTATCATCAATGCAGTTAACATGAGCAAGCCCCCATGCAATTTTAGGTTTATGGTACAAATCTACTTACAGAAATGTATTTCAAACTATTAAGAGTTCAGCAGCCTGGACCATTAAACCCAGAACTATTTCACAGTTATAATTAGATTCATTTAAATTACTAAGTAAGAGCTCTAGGCCCTAGAAACAGCTAGAGGGAGAGTTATCAGTCATTAAGGGCAGTCCCTAGAAGAGGGAGAGTTAATGTTTTTGTTTGTTTTTCTTAATTCAAAGAAGGAGAAAGCCTGAAGGGCTAGTGTAGAAATTAATTAATCAACAAGGGCTCACATGGTACCCAGCTCTGTGCTTGGTTCAACTGAGGATACAGAAGTAGAAGATATGATAAACTTGTCCTTCAGAAGCTTACAACCTACCTGCAGTTTAATTTGGGGGTTTGTTTATAAACTGGCTTCCCAGGACTCATTTTTAAAAATTATCAGCTACAAGGAGTCAACCAAATATCATACAAAAAATCTAGAATTTTCCGTGATATGCACGGACACTTATTGTGTCTGTGACATGAAATCGAGAGTCTGATAATATTTACTATTCAGTCAATCAACAGGCATTTCTTAAGTGCTTACTTTGTGCCCAACACTATGCTGAAAACAATGAGAAAGATTGAAGCAATTTTTAAAAATATAGTTGGAGAAGACTGTGGAGATAAAGAAATAGTAAGAAGAGATCCAGTCCACAGAACCTTAAGACAGAGAACAGAGAAACAGCACGGTGTACTGGAGGGCTAGCCTTGAAATCAGGGAGACCTGGGTTTAATTTTTACCTCTGATTCCTATTGGTTATATGACCATAAGCAAATCCTAATCTCTCAGTGCCCTAGGCAACCTTCTAAGGCTATAAATTATAGACTATCTACATCAGTGGAAAGAGTTTCTACACTGAGAGTTCTTCATAATAAGGAATTCCCTGGTCTGGATCAATAATAATAAAGATAATGATAATAATTCTAAGAGCACAGAGCCCAGTTTCAGAGGATTTAAAATCTTCTATTATTCTAACTAATTTTCCCTTCCCATTCTTATTCTTTATATCTTTTCTACAAAATCCTTTCCTGTTTCCAGACAATACCTTTTTGGAGGTAAGAATCATACTAGGTGGTTTCTTTGCTCTGGAAAAGTATTCCTTCCCCAAGGCATTAGTAGGATGTAGGATTTGGAAAAAAAGGAAAAAAAGATTTGTGTTCGTCAAGGTAGGGTCCACAAAAAGGTGTATGCTGTGACTTCTTTGGCTCTCATTTAGAGCTAGATTCTGTAAGTTAAAAAGCCTATTTTACTGTGTGGAAATGAGAAGGACGGCAGGGACTGAATATGCAGCTTGCTTCTTAATTGGGAGCCCAATGTTCAGTACTTTGGTCAAATTCCAATGGAAACTCTTTGGACCAAGGACCACAATATTGGGTCTAAATGAAAAAAGGGAAACAAAGCAAAATAACAATCAGCATTAAAAGATCGTAATATCATGCTTTGTTTTTATATGTCAGGAACTGGCAAAATATTAAGTAGATAAGTTAACATGAATGAGTGGGCCCAGTAGTTTCTATAACCATGTTCTTAAGCTTGCTTACTGGGTATTGTTGGTAAATGTAATAAACAGCTGAGACTGGAGCATCAGCCTCACAGCTGCAGGGCATGTGAACCCATTTCTTCCCAAAATCAAATCTGTGAAACAACAGTTAGAACGTTAATGCCCTGATTACCCAATGGACTTCAGTCAACCATTCTATATAAAGTGTTTAGGAGTTTATGATAGAAATCACAAAACCTTGCTAAAAGAGGAATTCATTCTCAACACAGCTCTTAGGGAAGAAACCTTTGTGGAGAATGAGAATGAAGTGAGAGATGATTTCAGGGTGAACTAGTTTGCAGCTTGGCCTAGTAAAAATTAGTAAAGCTCGGTCTCGCTTAGCCCTAATCAGTCTTGCAGTTCCTTAAAAACCTAACAGCAAAAAACTCCCCAGAGAACCTAAAAAAGCTAAGATGGCTAATTTTGGAACTTTCAGGGAACTTAACCACTTTAATTGATGTTATTGTATTTTGTCTGTGGAGTATTATATTTTTTTTGAAGCTGTGTCTTGAGGCTTCATCATT